ATGAAAACCCCAAATCCACAATCTCAGAAAATTAGAATATTACATGCAATCAATAAAACAAGGATTGTACATAGAACAATATCAGACATCTGAAAAGTATAAGCATATATATGTAGTCAGTACTTGGTTTGGGCCCCTTTTGCAGAAATTACTGCCTCAATGCGGCGTGGCATGGAAGCTATCAGCCTGTGGCACTGCTGAGGTGTTATGGAAGACCAGGATGCTTCAATAGCTGCCTTCAGATCTTCTGCAATGTTCGGTCTCATGTCTCTCATCTTTCTCTTGGCAATGCCCCATAGATTCTCTATGGGGTTCAGGTCAGGCGAGTTCGCTGGCCAATCAAGCACAGTAATCCCACGGTCATTGAACCAGGTTTTGGTGCTTTTGGCAGTGTGGGCAGGTGCCAAGTCCTGCAGGAAAATGAAGTCAGCATCCCCATAAAGCTCGTCTGCGGAAGGAAGCATGAAGTGCTCCAAAATCTCCTGGTAGATGGCTGCGTTGATCCTGGACTTAATGAAGCACAGTGGACCAACACCAGCAGATGACATGGCTCCCCAAATCAACACAGACTGTGGAAGCTTCACACTGGACTTCAAGCATCTTGCAGTGTGTGCCTCTCCATTCTTCCTCCATACTCTGGGTCCTTGGTTCCCAAATGAGATGCAAAAGTTGCTCTCATCAGGAAAGAGGACTTTGGACCACTGAGCAACAGACCAGGTCTGTTTTTCTTTAGCCCAGGTAAGACGCTTCTGACATTGTTTGTTGTTCAGGAGCGGCTTGACAAGAGGAATACATTTGAAGCCCATGTCCAGCATCCGTCTGTGTGTGGTGGCTCTTGATGCACTGACTTCAGCCTCAGTCCACTCCTTGTGAAAGTCCCCAACACTTTTGAATGGCCTTTTCCTGACAATCCTCTCCAGGCTGCGGTCATCCCTGCTGCTTGTGCACCTTTTTCTTCCACACTTTTCCCTTCCACATAACTTTCTATTAATGTGCTTTGATACAGCACTTTGGGAACATCCAACTTCTTTTGCAATTACCTTTTGAGGCTTTCCCTCCTTATGGAGGGTGTCAATGATGGTTTTCTGCACAACTGTCTGGTCAGCAGTCTTTCCCATGATTGTGATTCCTACTGAACCAGACTCAGAGACCATTTAAAGGCTCAGGAACCCTTTGCAGGTGTTATGGCTTAATTAGCTGATTAGAGTGGGACACTTTGAGCCGAGAATATTGCACCTTTTCACAATATGCTAATTTTCTGAGATTGTGGATTTGGGGTTTTCAAGAGCTGTAAGCCATAATCATCACAATTATGACAAATCGCGGCTTGAACTATCTTGCTTTGCATGTAATGAGTCTATCTCATATATTAGTTTCACCTTTTAAGTTGCATTACTGAAATAAATGAACTTTTGCACGATATTCTAATTTTTCAAGTTTTACCTGTATTGCAGCTTACCTTTCCTTATGTAGTGACTAATTTTCTTTTCTTTTTTTTTTTTACACTTTTTCTTATTTATTTTCAAATGGTGATCTTGCCAGGAACATACTTGCTATCTTAGGGTGACAGCTGTGCAGTATCTGGTAGAAGCAGCATTGTCACCCTAGGAAGGGAGTGTGTTAGGACTTTGTACCACCACCCCCTTTTCATATAATAAAATAGGAGGTGATTGTAGTCAATGGAGACAGCTGGGAACAATGCTAACTGAAACTGTCCACAGAGGAAGAGAGTACAGGAAGTTAACAGCTCACAAAATCACTGGCTAAATGAACAGCTATGTAATTCATAATTTTTTTCAGACAGATATAATAAAATGCTTTTAATGGGATATTTAACACATCTTAAGGAAGCAATTAAAAGAGTTTTTTTTTTTTTTTTAATCTTTGAGGTTTTTTGGCAATTACTTCACAGTACCAGCAGCTAGAGAGGCCAGGGGTGGCTTGAGTTAAAGCACTTTTACTGCTTGTTAACCACTTTACAATCGTGCTATAGTCGAATGACAGCTACAGCATGGTTGTACAGTTCTGGGAGGGCGTCATATGATGTCCTCCCAGAACACGCCCCCCGTGCACCCCCCAGTGCAGTGCACCCGGCACTGTCAGTGATTGATGTTTCCTACAGACACAGCTGATCACATGACTAGGTAAAAGGCCAATCACAGTAGCCTTTTACCACATGATAAGCTGTGTCCAATGATAAATATCCAATGTAAATACAGTTGCTGGTTATCAGCAACACTTTCCCCATGCTGTGTACTGCTGATAACCAGCAAATGTCACAGAGCAGATCTGCACTGATGATCAGGGCACTGATGATCAGTACTCTGATCATCAGTGTCCAGCAGTGCTACCCATCAGTGCCTGGCAGTGCCACCCACCAATGCACATCAGTGCCACCCAGCTGTTGCACCCATCCGTCAGTGCCCAACAGTGCCGTCCATCAGTGCCGCCAGTCAGTTTAGTGTTACGGAAGAGGTCTTGTGCTAGAATTACTGCTCTCACTCCGGTGTGTGTGGCAATATGTAACATATGTATTGCAATCAATGTTTTCACGCATAGGTGCCATGACATGTGCGTTACGTTTGTATGTGGGGGTGGGGGCCTCAAAAATTTTTTGGGTTGTTATGTTCTTGGGTGTAACTTTATTTTTTTGCAATAAAATTAAAATTTTTAGGTGACAGGTTCTCTTTATTGAAACATACAGAGTCTAAAAGACACTGCATGTCTCCTCTGGGCTCCACTTGATGTACTGCAATGCAGACCGAAATTGCAATACACTGCTTCTCAGTTGTGCTGAGAAAGTGACAAGGGTGATCCGGAAGTGATGTTATACACATTGCCTTCTGGGTCACGTTCGGCCACTGGCCTTTCTCCCTTCCACTCCCCAGCACCATGGTGCTTCTCGGGCCTGCAGATGGTCACGTGATACATGGCAGGAGAGCGCACACAGGGGTTACTGGTACCCAGGGGCTGTGAAAGCAATCAAGCAGCAGCGCAGATGCCCGACTGCTTTCACCTGTCAGTTTTATACACAATCCCGGGGCTGCAGCTGAGTAAAAGGTCCCTCCAGGCTCCTATCACTATACAGAAGCCCAGCAGTCCACTTTCTCATGGTACTAGCCTCCACATGGCTTCCTGTGCTCTGTACACTGCGTGGCTCTGCACCCCTTTCAATTGGGTCTGGTGGGCAGGGCTACAGTCCTAGTCACTCAGCAGCCAATCAGGATCCTCCTCTGGCATTGCTAGGGGCAATATTACCCTAGGCTGCAATCACAAGCCTTCCTTCCACTCTTAGTCTACACCAAAATGGCTGCAACACCTTTTGTGTTTAAGACACTTTCTCATTCCTGCACTTTTCACCATTAGCATGAAAGGAAAAAGAGATGCATTGGAAAGAATGTTCTGCTGGTTGACTTAAAGGGGTCACCAGCCAGACTATACACTCCCTCCACCAAAAGTCTTTGGTCCACAAAAGAAACTTAAGTGACGTTTAAAGCAGCTTATCTAGAAACAAAACTGGTGGCTTTAACTGGACTCTGCATGCTGGGCTGTATTTGACATACTCCTGACTCCTGCACTCTTTATGTTATATTGTACAACAGTTGCTGGTTGCTAAGTAGTCATTGACTATGTTATTGAACTTGTTCTTCCAGGTAGGCTGTGTACAGAAAAGGACATATAGTGGAAGAGTTTCATTTTTTATAAGTGATATTTTTTGGGTATAAGGATTGTGGCATATGTTACCATGTACATAGTGAGAAGGCTGAAGTTATAAACCCCTTCCACTGTTAGAACAATTTTGCCACACCTATAGATTGCTGCGGTGCAGTTGTCCATGCTACCTAACTAACCCCCACACAGGAAACACAATTATTTACAGCCCTGCACAGAGTTGCTGACTGTGAAGGAAAATTATTGATTCAACATTAGTCAGCATCTCTGCATGTTGACTTCACAATTTATGTGTCCTTGCTACTGTCTTCTCTAACAACCTAATTGTTAATTGGATATCAGATCAACACTGTCACTATTTTACATTCACCTCTGTGCCAGGTAAGACAGGTCTGCTGCATAAAAGTATCATGAAAGCACAATATTATTCTCACGGGTATCTTAGAGCAAGATGTGATGAAGTGATAAATAGATTTTTGCAATCGCTTATAAACAATAAAAAAACGTTTGTTGTGTAACCAAAACTAAATGCATCAAAATACTCATGGGAGATCTCACTTTGGTGCACAACGACAATTCCATTCGTAAGCCCACACACACCAAACTTTGAAAGCACTGGGAAAGGTTCTTACAGCCCTATTTATTTATGTGTGCATTAATCCCATTTACTATTGCATTCCTTTCTCAGTACCTCCACTCCTAATTCTCAAAAAGCACATAATTGTAATTATCTAGTTTCCCCACTCTTAAGATATTACATCAAAAAGTGAAATATACACATCAGTATAAATTATATTATGTTTTTTTTTTTGATGTTTTTTTATAAAGTGCATTTTAACCACTAGCCTACAGGGCACTTATACCCCCTTCTGCCAGGCCAATTTCCAGCTTTCAGCGCTATCACACTTTGAATGACAATTGTGCGGTCATGCAACATTGTACCCATATGAAATTTTTTATTATTTTTTTGAGACAGATAGAGCTTTCTTTTGGTGGTATTTAATCACCTCTGGGATTTTTATTTTTTTCTTAAAACAAAGCAAAAACCACTGAAAATTTTGAAGAAAAAAAAGTTTTTTCTTAGTTGTTGTTATACAATTTTGTAAATAAGTGATATTTCTCCTTCACTGATGTGCGCTAATGAGGCTGCAGTGATGGACACTGATAGGCTGCACTGATGGACACTGATAGGTGGCACTGATGGGCACTGATGAGGAGGCACTGGTAGGTTGCACTGATGGGCATTGACAGGCATCACTGATGGGCACTGAAAGGCAGCACTGATACATGACACTGATAGGCAGCACTGACTGGCACTATAAGGCAGCACTGACTGGCACTGTTAGGCAGCACTGACTGGCACTGATAGGTGCAACTGATTGGCAGCACTGATAGGTGTTACTGATTGGCATTGATAGGTGGCACTGACTGGCACTGATGGGTGACATTGAAAGGCAGCTCAGATGGGCACTGCTATGTGGCATTGATGTGCACTGGTATGCACTGATATGTGGCATTGATGTGGCACTGATGGACACTGGCACTGATGAGCACTGACAGGTGGCACTTCTGGGGCCACACTGATCATCAGTGCCCTGATGATCAGTGCACATGTCCCCTCCGCGGAAAGCCGATTACCGGCTCTCCTCTCGAGCTGTCAGCGTGACAGCTCGAGAGGAGAGAAATGCCGATAACCGGTATTTCCGTGTTTACATGTGATCAGCTGTGATTGGACACAGCTGATCACATGACCGAGCCGACATCTTCGGCTCTTTCCGTGATCCGCTGTGTCCGAGGGACACAGCAGATCGGCGATCACCGCGCTGCACGCTCCCTGAGCCGTGCATGCGCAGTGAGAATGGTAGGACGTCATATGACGTCCTATCAGAACGAGAAAACCACCTTGCGCCCATCATTGTACTATAGGGCGGGCGGAACGGTGCTTAAATACAGTACATTATGACTTTTTTTCCTCGTGGCTCAATATTTATTTTGTTTTTCTATGAGATTGAGAAAGGATTGGAATCTGTTTGAGAGGTTGTTGGAATCACGTGGAGATGGGAAACGGGGCACAGCAAAAGTTTATAAGATTCTCACTGAGTTAGACACACACACAAAGGCAATGCATATAGTAAAATGGGAAAGGGATTTGGGAATAGAGATTGATGAAGAAAAACAGAGGAAAATATATAGATTAACACACGAGAATATAAGTATGAGAGAGGTGGAGGTAAACTATAAGTGTTTAGCAAGATGGCACATTGCACCGTATGTCGAATACAAGATGAGTGGGGAGAATGCACCAGAGTGTTGGAGGGGGTGTGGAAAGATAGGTACGTTATATCATATATGGTGGGAGTGCCCAAAGATTCAAGGTTTTTGAGGGACAATGGTTCATTTAATTGGGATAATCTCTGGGATAAAGATAGGCTTGGACCCAGAGTTGTGTCTACTACATAGTACAGAGCGATCAGTGAATAAATACATAGATCGGGCATATGGCATTATCTGAATGCGGCAAAGGGTCTGATACCTAGGTTTTGGCATAGCTCAGAGGTGCCGAGAGAAGAGGATTGGGTGGAAAGAGTAAACTAGATATGTAGGATGGAGAAACTGTATTATATGCAAGAAGACAAGATGAGGTTTATATTACAGGAGGTGGGAAAATGGGAAGATTTTGCGTCCAAGGTGAAATACAGTTGCAAGAAAAAGTATGTGAAAACCCCTTGGGATTACGTGGAGTTTTGCAGAATTGGGCATAAAATGTGCTCTGAACGTCATCTAAGTCACAACAATAGAAGAACACAGTCTGCTGAACATAATACTACACAAACATTAGATGTTGCCATGGTTTAATTGCACATAACATGTAAACATTCACAGTGCAGGGAGGAAAAAGTATGTGAACCTTTGGACTTAATAACTGGTTGACCCTCCTTTGGCAACAATAACCTCAACCAAACGTTTCCTGTAGTTGCAGATCAGACCTGCACAACGATCTGGAGTAATTTTGGACCACTCCTCTTCACAAAACTGTTTCAGTGTAGCAATATTCTTGGGATGTCTGGTGTGAATCGCTCTCTTAAGGTCATGCCACAGCATTTCAATCGGGTTGAGGTCAGGACTCTGACTGGGCCACTCCAGAAGGCGTATTCTGTGCTGTTGCAGCCATTGTTTTGTTGAATTACTTGTATGCTTTGGGTCATTGTCCTGTTGCATCACCCATCCTCTGCGGAGCTTCAGTTGGCGGCCAGATGATCGTACATTTTCCTGCAAAATGTCTTGATAAACTCTGGAATTCATTTTCCCATCAATGACAACAATCCATCCAAGCCCTGAGGCAGCAAAGCAGCCCCAAACCATGATGCTCCCTCCGCCATGTTTTACAGTGGGGATGAGGTTTTGATGTTGGTGTGCTGTGCCTTTTTTTCTCCACACATAGTGTTGTGTGTTCTTCCCAAACAACTCAATCTTGGTTTCATCTGTCCACAGTATATTTTGCCAGTAGTGCTGTGGAACATCCAGGTGCTCTTTTGCAAACTTCAAACATGCTGCCATATTCTTTTTGGACAGCAATGGCTTCCTCCGTGGTGTCCTCCAATGTACTCCATTCTTGTTTAATGTTTTCCTTATTGTAGATGGGTCAACAAAAATGTTAGCATGTGCCAGAGATTTCTGTAGGTCTTTAGCTGACACTCTGGGATTCTTCTTTACCTCATGCAGCATTCTGCGCTGTGCTCTTGCAGTCATTTTTACAGGATGACCATGCCTAGGGAGAGTAGCAACAGTGCTAAACTTTCTCCATTTGTAGACAGTCTGTCTTACCGTGGACACATGAACATCAAGGCTTTTGGAGATACTTTTGTAACCCTTTCCAGCTTCATGCAAGTCAACAATTCTTGATCGTAGGTCTTCTGAGAGCTCTTTTCTGTGAGGCATGGTTCACATCAGACAGTGCTTCTTGAGTAAACCCAAAACAGGTGTGTGAAAGGGCAGAACAGCTGTCAGCAACACATCCAATATCATCACACTGATTGGAGTCAAGGTTGGCTCACTCCTGGCTCCAATTAGCTCTGGGAGAAGTCATTAAGCTAGGGCCTCACATACTTTTTCCTCCCTGCACTGTGAATGTTTACATGTTATGTGCAATTAAACCATGGCAACATCTAATGTTTGTGTAGTATTATGTTCAGCAGACTGTGTTCTTCTATTGTTGTGACTTAGATGACGTTCAGAGCACATTTTATGCCCAATTCGTGCAAAACTCCACGTAATTCCAAGGGGTTCACATACTTTTTCTTGCAACTGTATATGAAGTAGTAGAGTGGAAGAGGTGAAAGTATATATTACTTAAGAAAAGATGTAATGAGAAATGCAGAGTGGGTGGTTTTACTTGTGGGGGGGGGGTTGGTTTGTCGGGGCAGGTGGGGGCATTAGTTGGGGGGGGTGGTAAAGGGAATAAAGATAGAAGGGAAATAAAGATAGATAGGGATATAATTAATGGTTTGGATACACTTGAAAGTTTTGTATGTTATAGAGAGAGATGATGAAATTTGTATTTTATACGGAAAACGAATAAATATTTAAATTTTAAAAAAAAGGGAGAACCACCTTGCGCCCGTCATTGTACTATAGGGCGGGCGGAAGGTGGTTAAAGGCAAAGGCATAAATATTGTACAGGGACATGATTAAAAATTAATTTGTAAATGCATTGAAAACCAATTAATCAGTTTCGGAGGTCAGAAAAAAGTAAAAAAAAGTCTTATCTGTCCAAAACTCTTTATAAAGTGCACTTTAAAAGCACAGGGCCGGCTCTATAAACCTGCCAGGTGCAATGCATCCTGGGGAAACTTGCTTCGTATTGCGAAAAAAAATTTGTAAACAGAGGCATTATTTTCAATGGATTTTCATTCGTAAACTGAAAATTACATTAACAGAGGTGTTCGTAAACCGAGTAAACACCTGTATTTTGAAAATCAGGGAACTGGTGATGTCAGCAGTGACTCAGCCCCTGGCAGTGGCATTCATCCACCTCTGCGTAAATGTGGATGCAAAGTCTCCTTCTTCTTCCTTGTGTTCCTTCTTTCATCTGCTCCAGATTCTTCTTTTCCTGGGACTTGTAGTTCCATACCATACTTGGATTATTAGAAAGATGTCTCCTGTGGACTACATTTTCCATGGTCCCAGATAGTTCCCTGCAGTTCTCTTTCCTCCCAGGCTGCACAACAGCCAATTAGTGTCTTCTGATGTCCTGAGAAGGTAGGCAGGCTCTTCTCCAGGGTGCTGTGACTGTCTCCCTCTCTTCTCACCGGCATTCGAGAAGTGGGAGATGAGCTGCAGCGCTGGCTCTGTGTGTGGCTGCAGAGTCACTGACAGTCCAGACCATGCGACCGCCCTGGCACTGCATACTGGAGCTAGGCATTTGGAGCTGCTTACCCTGCACTTGCATGCCTAGCAAATTAGGACAAGCAGCCAATGTGTCCCCATAGACTAACATATGCTGCCTGCACACAGCACCTGCATAGTTGCCAAGTGTCATGAATTTGCCGGGACAGTCATGGTTTTTCAAAGGCTGTCCCGACATGTCTTTGTCCCAGATTGCATCCCAGAAATCAAACCTGCACACGGACAGCCAGCTGTCCTAGGCCTATAGCTAGAACATTATCTGTGAAAATGCTTGAAATGATACAAACTCTTTTTTAAAAAAATCTGTTCATATATTTATTCTTAACTCAGAAAAAGTGTTTTATTTCAATCAGCTTTTTTCTTTTTTGCTCCTGACTACCAGTTAGAGGATGGTTACCAGGTGCTTAAATGCTGTTAGAAACCAGCATAAAGTAGAATTCTGGTGTATACCTAACTAATCTTAAAATTGCGCCCACCCCCTCCTAACACCTATACTAACTACCCTGTGGAAGAAAGCTATTAATGCAACGTTTGTACCAATTTTCAGGCCACTCTGGTCCAGTCCTGTAATATGGTTCCTTGTGTTAGTCAAAGATGCTTTAGTGGAGAGGATGGAGCACTGACAACAGATAGGACATGGGAGCCTATGGGTGACATCACTGCTCCCTGACATTCGCAGTCACTATGTCAGAAATACCTCTTACAAAAATCTCAGTATTCTCACTGACAATGCCTTATTCTTCCTCTCTCCCCTAAAGCTGGAACAACCTTTTCTCAAAGTGATATGAAAGCAGAGCTCCAGTCTCCTGTAAAAAAAAAAAAAGTCAGCAGCTACAAAAGTTGTAGAGTCTAAATTTTAAAAAAAAATGGCCACTCACTTGCCCCTCCATCCAGCAGTGTTCTCACCCCAGCCAGGTTCACCAGTGGTCCTCTCTCCCAGTGCCGGCATCTTAAGTGCAGACACCTGGCTGTGACAGCTTGCAGCTTCACAGCCGGGCGCTCACTGCGCATGTGCGAGCAGCGCTGGGCATTGTGAATGGTACCACAGTCTTCTGGGACCTGTTACGTATCCCAGAAGACTGCAGAGGGGGTGGAGGTAGGTAGTAGAACCTCCATTTCTGATTGCCTAGGCGGTCATATTGGAAGTGGGAGCTGGTACCTGTCAAAATAGGAAACGGGGAACGGGAGATGAGCAGAACTTCCCCTTTTGGGTGGCGCTCCGCTTTAAAGGCAATGTTTTTTTGGGGGTTTTTTTTTTTTAAACATAACAAATATGTCATATTTACTTGTTCTGTGCAATGGTTTTGCACAGAGCAGCCTCAATCATCCTCTTCT